CACTGGATCCCAGCGCTGCCAATCCAGTGGAATCTGCTATTCATTCTATTACAGTACACCATCCGGAATAGGACAACTATCTGCTTCCACAACATCTCTCATGGCGCCGCGAATAAACATACCTCCTATCACGCGAGCGATTCTCAGTGCCATCTGCGCTTTATCCTTTCTAAACGGTGTGGCCAGATGGAGACAGTATGAAGGCTCGCCGGGCGTCCCGATCCCTTATCTATCTCTGGTTCCGTCCAACGTTCTCTTTTATCCTTGGACACTGTTGACTGCTACATGTGTCGAGCTAAATATTTTCACTGTTATCATTACCGGAGCGACAGTGCTATATGGAGGGAAATATCTCGAGCGGGCATGGGGATCGCGAGAGTTTGCAAAAGTTATCCTTGTTGTTTCACTGGTACCAAATATCGTCATGACTTTTCTCTACATCCTCTGGTCGAGTATTGTGTCTGATGCTAGTATTGCGTGAGTCTCCCTTGTTTCCTGCCCATGGAATCTTGATCTCTTATTTCATCTGTGTGTCTACGAAACCGTTACTAAAATTGTTATTTCAGTCTTAAAGGGATATCTGGTGGGATAGCGATCCAGGCGGCGTTTCTGGTGGCCTTCAAACAATTAGTCCCTGAACACACCGTAACAATTCTTAAGGGCATTGTCAAAATGCGAGTAAAGCATTTCCCTGCTCTCTTCCTCCTCCTGAACGCCATCGGTGGCATCGTGCTCGGAACCGATGTCGCTCTCAATTTGAGCTGGCTCGGTCTAGTATCGAGCTGGACATACCTTCGCTTCTACAAACGCCAACCAGACCTCTCCGGCACCTCAACCAACGAACTCGGCATAAAAGGCGATGCCAGCGAAACCTTTGCCTTTGCCAATTTCTTCCCAGACTCCATACAACCACCCATCTCATTTGTCGCAGATAAGATATACTCAATCCTCATTACCCTACGTATCTGCACCCCTTTCTCGGAGGAGGATATCGCATCAGGCAACGAACAAGCAATAGCACGTGGACAAGTGGGGCTTCCAAACCTGTTGAATAACGGCAGGATAGGCAGCGGAAGAGGCTCGGGTAAGCGAGAGGAGGCAGAACGGCGGAGAGCCCTCGCTCTTAAGGCTCTGGATCAAAGGCTTCAGGCAGCCGCCCCAAGTAGGCCGGTTCAGCCAGCTGCCGCAAACTCTTCCCCGTCACAAAAAATGCCCCCACGACAATCTTACGGCCTGACAGCAGCTCCGTCTGTTCCCCCCGGCCAAAGTA